AATTTGCGTGTGCTTCTTTCCAAGTGACTGAAAGTTTCCCGAGTTCTAAGGCTATACTTATGATTAAGACGTCTTCTATATCAGTTATATGGTAAGAAACAACGATTCAGTTCAGGAGTGGGCAGGGCAAGTGTCCCGCATGCAATGTAGTTGCTTATGAATTCTCAAAGATTGTTGTATGGTGGCTGCGTTCTTGTACTTGACAATGCACCAAAAGGACAGAGATCTGTCGTCACCGGTGCCGTCGTTCTCAGGAATAAGGGTAACACTATTGGATGAAGGGTATATCGGAAAGAATGAATTTTCCTTTACTTGAAGCTATTACTAAGGAATTAATTTGACTTAAGTTATTTAAACATATTTGGAGAAAAAAAAAAACTTACCGATTGCAGATTTCTCTTTTAGTAACAAGCACCACAGGTTTTTGGACAAGCATAGATAGTAGAGAAAGGGTTGCTGTGGCAGTCGTCTTTCAGGCTGGGGCAGTCGTGCCTGTGATCAACACAGGGTTCTTTGAAAAAGCAAACAAATCAAACTCAAACATTATACCGGTATAATTTCGAGTAAAATACAGGGGCACAAGCTTAATGCCGGTCAAAAATAAAAAGTGCAATTTTTCCGGCATAACAGTGCCGTTTCTCGATGAAACAAATATTAAGTTGTTTGTACCTCTGTACATGTGTTACACAGAGATACCGCGCTGTAGTTGATCTGGAGACTGTGTTCTATCACTGACCCACCATAATATACGGAATCGTTGGCACGACGCCTTACAGCCTTCCAATTTGATCCCAAGGTTAAAGGAGGTGGAAACCTACTTGTAGCGTCTTTTGCAGCAGAAGGACCAATTGAAGCTGAGAAGGCTAGATTAAAAAGTACTTACCGCAAGGGACGGCACAGGCGATGGGGCATTGACGTAGTGTTGCCCACGGGTTAGCGTGACAATGATTGTCCCGTGCCAATACCTTACAGTCTGGACGCGAATCGTAACATACACCTAGTAAAGAATTGAGCATTTACATAATTAATTTTAAACCTTTGCTCAGACCGTAGTCAGATAATCGATCAATTAGAATTAAATAAACGCGACACAACCTTATTGACAGGGTACACTAGTACAAAGTAAGTATTAAAAGTCATCCAAAATGAATCTTTTTTCTATCATTAAATAGATCTGTTTCCATGCCTGAAATCCCATCAAACGGATTGCCTTTATGATGTTCTTCGTTCATAAAAGAAACTCAAACTAACTTAAGGATATTAAAATGTTTGTTGTCACTGACTAAAAAAAGTTGTTTTGGACGTTTCGGTTAAAATACTGTAACCTTCTTCAGCACGAAAAAAAAAAAAAATATGCCTCATTGGCAATAGGCATTANCACAGGCGATGGGGCATTGACGTAGTGTTGCCCACGGGTTAGCGTGACAATGATTGTCCCGTGCCAATACGTTACAGTCCGGACGCGAATCCTGACATCCACCTAGTAAAGAATTGAGCATTTGCATAATTAATTTTAAACCTTTGCTCAGACCGTAGTCAGATAATCGTTCAATTAGAATTAAATCAACGCGACACAACCTTATTGACAGAGTACACTGGTACAAAGTAAGTATTAAAAGTCATCCAAAATGAATCTTTTTTCTATCATTAAATGGATCTGTTTCCATGCCTGAAATCCCATCAAACGGATTGCCTTTATGATGTTCTTCGTTCATAAAAGAAACTCAAATTAACTTAAGGATATTAAAATGTTTGTTGTCACAGACTAAAAAAAGTTGTTTTGGACGTTTCGGTTAAAATACTGTAACCTTCTTCGGCATAAAAAGAATTATGCGTCAGTGGCAATAGGCATTAGGCATTCTCAATAACTAAAGAACTGCTAGGAATCTGGCTTTATAGGATTTGAAAATGATGAACAAGTCATCTAAACCTCATTGGAAATTATTATCGCTGATTTTTATTCGTAAAACTTGAAGTTAAAGTTCATTATCAAAATAATTCTATTTATCACTCTTCAGGGTTTTGTTTTTCTTTCTGCATGGTCACGAAGGTAGGAAACCATACCTGCACCTGCAAAGAACAAACAGAACAGAACATAAAATTTGAAATAGTTCTGATAAGTTCTTGATTATAAGAAAGCATCTTGTACTTTTTATTGATTCTTGTTTAAGTGCATGACTGTATTCCCGCATGCGCACTTGTGCGTGGGCGGGTGCGTGCGTGGGCGGGAGTGCGCGTGGGTGGGTGTACGCGTTAGTGTGCACGTGTATGTGAGCGTGCGCGGTTGAGTACATTTGTAAGCAGGGCGTTCGTGAGTGCGCTCGTGTGCCGGCGTACGTTTTGATACTTACAACATCCGACTAGCATCAGCAAAAGGATTCCACACTTAAAATACATGCCTAGCAAATGGAGAAAGATAAGATGCAGTCATGCAAGATTAGTTTCATTAATAGCCTTATTCCAAGCTGAAAAGGAAAGAAACTTTAAGTGTAAAAATTGAGTCAAACTATAAATTCAAAATTGGAGCTCTTAACCAGAAAAGCTACACTATTACTACGTCTAAAATGTCTACACAAAACGCTCTTTGTAAGGGTACTAATAGGCTTTATGGGTTTGAACAATTTTGAAGAATTTTTCTTCGTTCTAAGAATTGTCCAAGATTATGAATGCAAAGAGGAAAAGATCCGATCAGAAATACTTGCTAATGATAGCTAATGATAACAGTCTGCTGATAGGAAAAAAAAAAAAAGACAAGATGAGCAGCTGGCAACAACTCAAGGCAAATTTTATTCGTTCACGGAATTGTAGACAATAGTAAGAACCAAAACAGAGACAGTGGCTAAAGATAAGTTGCGTAAACTGCTCTAAACAAAAATAGCAACGAGCGGTTCCTAGCGGATAGTGCGAAGTAAGCAAGCTTCACTTAACGGTTACAATAAGGCTTATATCTATAACGCTGCGTAATACCAGAGCTCCTACGCGCCAAAGGCGAGTGAGCGGAGCCCTGTACCTTACACATTTGACGTTTAGCAAGTCATGGAGGGACCGGGCAAGGTCTTCAATTGCTGAGGCAACGTTCACTGGGGAAAGGTGAAAGAAGTCGTTGGTGCCTAGCTGTAATATAACTATGTCGAGCTTGAACGATTCAACCACAGAAAGATCAAATTGGACAGTCTTGAGTACTGTCCTTCCCCCGACCCAGTGCCATTTTAACTCTATGCCGTCAAGAATATGCAAGTTAGCATCTAGATCGGTACTCCGCCCTACATATTCGCGTAAACGGTGAATAAAGGAATGACCAAGCATCAAAACACGTGTTACCGTCATATGACCGCTTGGAGCACAATATTTGTAAACTAAGATCTAAAGAGGGCACTGAAGAGTCGAAAATGAGAACAGGTACTTGCCTGAAAATTCTTGGAGGTAGTGTAGAAAAAAATTTCCTTCCGAGANTATCTTATCGACTGTGATACAGATTTTGATGACATTCTTGCCACTGTCTCTTTTCTGATGGAGAAAAATCTGTGGGCAAAATTCTGGACAACCTATCAGGAAAGGAGGTACTGTGCATGCATATCAAAAGTCAAACAGCCATTGTAAACTAGTGCATAGAGATTTTGGTTGGCCTAATGGTTGGTTCATTAGACTTAAAGAATTGAGTTGTTCAGTTTGGGTGCTGGTTAGGGTCATTGTGTCATGTTTTGGGGCAAGACATGTTATTATCTTCACCCAGGTGTGTAATTGGGCACTAGTCAGCTACATTAGGGCAGTCTGAAATTTGAATTTGATAGCTTTTTATACATATCTTTCTTTGTAGTTCTAGTCGCTCCATTGAGGATCTGCTCCAAAAATGGGGGCTCAAAGCTGTCCAAATCCCTTTGGAAGATTTCAATGCTGATCATGGCAATATTGGAGGCTCCAATATCTCTGATTTACACACCATACAAATGCTGCAGATAACAAGTCAACGAGCCCAAGAGAACTTGAAGACACAAGTGGATAACAAGGCATAACTGCTCAGACACATTTTATGAAAAAAATCTCAAATAAGGATGTAGCTGGAGCTGGTTTTAATTCAGAGACTAAGATCCACCAGGAAAGAGTTACCAAGGGATTTGAGGCTGTCAAGTGCAGATTTCATACTGTTGGTGATCTCATTTAGAGAAGTCTGGGACTACCATTCTGGTCTTCAGATGTAATTGCTGAACACGAGAATGAGGAAATTGCTTCTTAAGGATCATGACAGCTCTTGAGGTGCAACTTGATTTTAAGTTAATGTACAGGCTAAGCAACCCACAATGGAAGTACAGCCAATTGACTTGTGTGTGCTGCTGTTGATTCACTTGGTTACCAGTCAACAAAAACCACTCCTGATAACTCCTGTTGCACTTGTATGACATACAAGACTCTTAGAAGTCTTAGAAAGGTCATCTGTATTTCTTTAGTTATGCCATAAAAGCAATGCAACATGTACTGTCTTGTTGGTCTATTATTTACCCGCAGCCCTNAACTAGTGCATAGAGATTTTGGTTGGCCTAATGGTTGGTTCATTAGACTTAAAGAATTGAGTTGTTCAGTTTGGGTGCTGGTTAGGGTCATTGTGTCATGTTTTGGGGCAAGACATGTTATTATCTTCACCCAGGTGTGTAATTGGGCACTAGTCAGCTACATTAGGGCAGTCTGAAATTTGAATTTGATAGCTTTTTATACATATCTTTCTTTGTAGTTCTAGTCGCTCCATTGAGGATCTGCTCCAAAAATGGGGGCTCAAAGCTGTCCAAATCCCTTTGGAAGATTTCAATGCTGATCATGGCAATATTGGAGGCTCCAATATCTCTGATTTACACACCATACAAATGCTGCAGATAACAAGTCAATGAGCTCAGGAGAACTTGAGGACTTCACAAGTGGATAACAAGGCATAGCTCCTCAGACACATTTTATGACAACAATCTCAAATAAGGATGTAGCTGGAGCTGGTTTTAATCCAGGAACAAAGATTCACCAGTAAAGAGTTACCAAGGGATTTGAGGCTGTTGAGTGCAGACTTCATTCAGTTGGTGATCACATTTAGAGAAGCCCAAAACTATGATTCTGGTCTTAAGATGTCATTGCTTAACATGAGAATGAGAAAATTGCAACTCTGATTTTAAGTTAATGTAGGCTAAGCCACCCACAATGGAAGTACAGCCAATTGACTTCTGTGTGCTGCTGTTGATTCACTTGGTTACCAGTCGACAAATACCACTCCTGATAACTCCTGTTGTACTTGTATGACATACAAGACTCTTAGAAGTCTTAGAAAGGTCATCTGTATTTCTTTAGTTATGCCATAAAAGCAATGCAACATGTACTGTCTTGTTGGTCTATTATTTACCCGCAGCCCTGTTAAAGTGTTTTGTAGCAGCAGGCAAGATAACAGAAGTAGTAGGGCTGGCAGCGCATTTTGACAGTGCTTTTATATGGTAATGCTGTTTCTTTAGAACTGTTTAGACTGTTTCTTTATAATTCAGGAAAATGTGGATCTTCCTCATTGCCACCTTTGTTGCAAAAATCCAAATGGCCTCTGAAAGTGGATGTTATCACCAGTGAATATGAACACATTAGGTGATGCAAGCTGCTCTTGAAAATCAATAACTCCAAGAATAACGTAACAAGGAATTCATGTAAGATTTTTTGATGTTCCTTCTGAGTTAACTGGCAAGATGGGTTTCTTGTAAACTCTTATGTGTATTGCTGAGTTAGTTCGCACTTTAGAACAACCTTCATGGTCCTGAAAATAAATGACAGAATTTTGTCAGGTGGACATTCAGATTGGCTAGCCTTTTGTTAAAATGTGATTAGCAAGAAGAGCTATAGGGCATTCATGCTTTCAACATACACTCTTCAACATGACTGTTCTTAAGCATACTGAATTAATTTTGCATTCAGTAGTCAAGGTCTAATTTCTCCATGGATATAGTATCAAATATATACACTAAGAGGCAGACAGATGAGGAGATTGAAGATGATCATCAGCTGTGCAATATCTTTCTCCAACTCCAAATTCTTAGAACTAACACTGAGAGAAAGATATGGTAGTCAGTTGGGAGAATCAATATAAAACTTCAACCTGAACAATTCCACCAGTCAGGGGAGCAGTGTATTTCCTCTGGATCCCATTGCTATTGAGTTGCTACACAATTGAAGCCTCAGTTAACATTTTTTGTCACAATTTTCTTGCTCTCCATGAGTTCTTGTAGCTCAGTGGATAGAGCACCCGCCCAGTGTTCGGGAGGTCATGGGTTGAATTCCTGTCGGGGATTTTTTCTTTGTCCCACGCTCGTGTCATGTTCATCAATTCACCTTTCACATTTCATTACCCAGCTTAAAATTCACCATCTTTATTCACTTGTCATTACAAAAATAGTTTTGTAAAGATAGACGTTAAAAGCTAATGGAATCCGTCTGATTATTCCTTGCTCAAAAATACTTATAATACTATAGTACCCCATTCCCTCTGTGAGATGCGCACCCAGGGAATCATGTTAGTTGTATGCAATGTCTCAAAGATGTCATGTGCATGATGAATACGACTACCATGATTCCCTGCATAAACGCCTCATAGGGGGGATGGCTCATTAACAAAAAAAAAATGTAGTTCATATAAGTAGCATTTAGCTCTGCAATGTTATCAGTAAAAAACCAAATAAGGATTATAATTATTTCAACAGTTTGGTTCCTTTCAACCAAGACTTACATCATCCTCAGGCTCAAAGTCATCAACTAGTTTAACACTGGAAGTAGTTGTTGATAACTGCCAAGCAAAACATTTGCTATTAGTAGATTTCTAAAAGCAAGAGATTGTTATACAAATGAATTAATAAGCTAATGTTATGCATCCCTATCCTCTCAGCTGCGAATGCCTTATTATTCAGATCTGAAACAAAGGAAACCATAAGTGTGACAGATTTTTGCAGCGTTTTTTTTTAAATTTCTTTGTTTACTCCTTACCTTTAAGTTTTTATTGACATGACGTTTATCAAACGTTCAAGTACTCAAAATGAACATCTCAAACACCTGTGAGATTTCTGACATTTGAGCAGGAAAGTTCAAAAGTAAAAATCTTTTGGAGATCCATCCAATGGCCTGAAGGATATAGAACTCTTTAGCTTAAACTGCAGATGTCTCTATCGCTCAGGAATGACACAAACTAGCTCAAACAAACCTTTCTGTGCCAGCAAAAATTGTATAGTTTTTGATGCATTTCTTCCTGTCACTCGCTAAGATCACAAAGACTGTCAAAATGAAGTGTCCAGCCCTTGAGCTCACAAGAGAAAGAATGTATTTTTGTATTGAATGAGACTCATTTTGGAATGTTTTTTTCTCCCTGTTGAAGTTTTTATTAATAGTTGTAAGATGATAAGTTTTCCACTGAAAAGTGAAAAGGAACTGATCCATTTCAATGTGCACTTTATGCCCACCTCAGGAGGAGGTGAAAGAGGCAGCATGGTTGAGTGGTAAGCTGTTGGGGCGCAGGGCTTGAAATCTGGAGGTCACAGGTGCAAGTCCCATTCTGACCACTACCTGGTGTTGTTCTTGGTAGTCCCGAGTTCAATTCAACTCCTTGGCTATGTTTGTAAATAGCCAACTGGTCTGCCTCCTGCCTGCCTGCCTGCCAGTCTGCCTGCCTCCCTGCCTCCTGGGTCATCATTTTTTTGGTCACATTATTTCTTTCATTGTTTCTAGCCATTGGCCCTGAAAAGCCCCTTTGGGGGAGTGGTCAATTAAGATATTTTTAGTTTATTTACCTCAACAGTTCCTTGTCCTCTTTGTTCAAGCTGCAATGCCAGATTGATTGCACGGTTAATGGCAGCACCCAAGCCATGTATCCTTACCTCTTGCTCACTGAAACAAAAGCACAAAAAGAAGATTACCTCAAGCTTTACACCTGTACATGCACGTGAATGTAACCTATTACATGTACATGTAAGCCTCAAGCTTTATACCTGTACATGCATGTGAACGTAAACTATTACATGTAAGCTGAAATTATCATACAGTGTAAGTTTACATGTGTAAGTTTACATTAACTTATACATAAAAGCTAACATATGAATAGGCACCGGGTGTATACAAAACCTGGGCTAGGCTATGGTCTGGGCCATGGCCCACCCTGTGGCCTACCCTATGGCCTACCCTATGGCCCACCCCAAATTATAAAGAAAATAATAACTACTTACACTCACAGGGATCAAGCATTGTAAATTTGAGTGATAGCCGCCATTTTTTAAAATTAAATTCATCCCCAGGGTGTCCTCCAGGTGATTGGCAGTTTAATGTTTAATTAGGCGCTTGGGCCCAACACATGATGCCATCTTGGACTAGGGGCACTGAGACCCCTGGGAGAAAGGCTGGCAACAACGATGGCCGATCTTGTGGGGAAAATCGAGGTAAGCAATCTGATACAAATGGTGGACAGGCCAAACACGACTCCTATTGGTCAAGATAGAGCTAGCCAGTGGTGTAATGTACTTTTCAATCCTTATTTGTTTGAAGCTCGACCT